TTGCCATACAGATCCGAGAGGACCTGAAACAAACGTGTACAACAGCCTAGTAGGTCCAATTATACTTCAATGGAGTTGTTTACAAAAATCTTAACTTGAGTATCGAGTCAACTGCATATTGTGCCTTTCACCTGTTTTGGAAGGTAGAGTGTTAATTCAGGTGGAATCAAAAGTCAGTCAGCCCACAATTCGTGCCGATTACGCATAAGATTCCATCGGCAGAGATACGCTTCGTTACAGACGGACGGCGGCCAGCAAACCGCCAAACACCTTCATATCCCTCTCAGTCGGGCTTGATTAGCTTATTTCGTCTTAAAACAGGCTCACCATCCCTGCCGTAAAATCGGCGAAGGAGAGACAACCCATAATTAACATGGAATTAGCTGGTCATAGGGCATAATTAAGGCAGAGAAGGGAATAGAATTATGCCAGAATAACCGTGGCAGAATTACTGAAAGGCACAATTCATGCTTGCTATTGCCGCAGATTCCAAAACACAGTAAAAGTAAATACAACAATTGTTGCGTAAATTTGAATTTGGTTTCCATGTAGCGCGGCTGGCGCAATGGATAGCGTATCAGACTTCGAATCTGGGGGTTGCGGGTTCGAGTCCCGCGTCGCGTACATTTTTAACTCTTCAATCGAATGGTACCAGGTGTATACATACAGTTGGAGGGAAGCTATGTAAAAGCATAATACAGATCCTACTCACCAGATTAACCCTTTAACTAGCAGACATGGATGAATATAAACACTTTTCCGACCATACTAAGAATTTGTATTGTGTCAATTTCGTTATAATCAGCCAATCAGAACATTGTATTTAATTTTAGCCAATTGCAACGTTGAGGGTTGGGTAGGTCCTCTAAGCCAGCCATTCCGACGTATCGAGTCGGAAACCAAGGAGAAATATATGTATGTCCTTACGAAGTTCTAGATTCTTGCATATCATTTGCATATTTGCATCCTTTCCGACCATCATGGGACTGGACGAGCTCAAGCCTGGAAACACCAAGCGTGCTCAAGCTACGGCCATCAAGGCCTTCAAAACATTTGTAAAGGCCGAAAATGTTGATTTTGACTATGTCAAGCGATGCATTGAAAAAGATGACACCGGTAAGTGTTTGGTATCTATATTAGATAAGTTTGGTATGTATCTTGCATTTAATGAGGGTAAGAACGGTAAGCCACTGTCTCGTAATACATCGATGCAGTACTAACGACAGAGCAAAATGTGGCTTTTTAAAGTTTTCCCTTGCGCAACGACATTTTGTGGAAGCAAAGTTGCTAAGTATGGGGAAGACACGGAGCTATTGTATGAAAAGAGATGGTAAAGTCGTTAACAAA